ACACTGCATAGTCCCTCAAACACACTTTATACTACACTACACTGCAACAGTTGTACGACTTTATATAGAGAAATGCAGTGTAGCCAGGTGCGTTATTTCAAATGCACGAGAGGCTTAAATCATACTGATTAAATACACTAATAGTTCTTTGCCTTCCATACACAAACGTGTTTCAAAGCTGATTACGGCAAAATGATATTGTAGAAACACACTGACCGTGTAAATAGCTGGAGGAAATCTGCCACACACACCCTTGTATGAGGGATTCTCTAAATGATGGCTTTTATTCAAGTGTAAACACTGAAATAAAAAGCCATCATGTTTTTATACTCAAATTAAGAATAAACTGTTGATTTACAGAAAAATGTGGTCAATTCCAAACTGACAAAAACAGCAATGATAACAACTATTATTGACAGCAATATATTCACAAAAATGACTGACTATTCATAGAGGTACTAGTGTGTTTTTTGAAAATGATGCCATGATAATACACTTTTTTTTTTGTTTGAAATATACTACTGTAATACCATGGTGTTCCATAACGTACCTTAGAAAATCATGTAAATACGACTGTATATGATATATATATATACTTATATAGATTACTTACTATTTAAAATAACTGCTTTCTATTTGAATGCATTTTAAAATGCAATTTATTTCTGTGATTTCAAAGTGAAATTTTCAGCATTACACCAGTCGCATGATCCTTTATAAGTCATTCTAATATGCTGATTTGCTGCTCAAAAAACAATTATTATTATCAATATTTAAAACAGTTGAGTACATTTTTTCAGAATTCTTTGATGAATAGAAAGATCCAAAGATCAGCATTTATCTTAAATAAAAAGCTTTTGTAACATTATACACTATAGCATTCAAAAGCTTGGAGTCAGTATAATTTTATTTTATTTTTTTTCTATATATAAATTAATGCTTTTATTTAGCAAGGATGTTTTAAATTGATCAAAAGTGATGATAAAGACATTTATAATGTTACAAAAGATTTCTATTTCAGATAAACGCTGTTCTACTGAACTTTCTATTCATCCTAAAGAAACATGAAAAATACCTACTCAGCTGTTTTCAACATAATAAAAATAATAATAATAAATGATTTTTGAGCAGCAAATCAGAATATTAGAATGATTTCCGAAGGATCATGTGACTGGAGTAATGATGCTAAAAATTCAGCTTGAAATCACAGGAATAAATTATATTTTAAAATATATTCAAATAGAAAACAGTTATTTTAAATAGTAAAAATATTTCAAAATATTACTGCTTTTGCTTTATTTTGGATCAAATAAATGCAGGCTTGGCTAGCAGAAGGGACTTCTTTAAAAAACAAAAAACTTGTAAAAAAAAATCAAGTAGTGTAAATATAACATTTAATATCATCTAATATTTTTTATATAACTTCTTTATATATACAGCAGATATTGTATATTTCATTACATACATACACACACACACACACACACACACATTATAGTATCCAATTAACTTCAAGTTGACTCAGTACTTCTGAAATAAAAAGTAAGATGGACAAAGTATGATATTTTACAATGCAAATAAAATAGTGGTCAGCGGACTGGTTCAGAGTTCCATAAAAGTGCCCGCTGGTTGAAGTTATAACAACTGACTTTCCTGCGAGGGGGTAGAGTACACGTGGTCCTGCCTCCCACTGAGAGAGACACAAAGAGAGATGTTGGGTTCGAACTGTGACTCACACAAGTCTGTGAGATACTAGACAAAACAGCCATCAGAAACAAATCACGAAAACGCCATAAAGAAAAGTCTTGTTCAGTAAGTAACAGTCTTTTGCAGCTCCGAATAAGCTGGCGACATGGTCACCTGTCATTCATTAGAGGCCAGTAAAAACTTACAACTCCATAAATTTATATTGAACATTTTCATCTGTTTTATGTATCCTTTCCATATTCCTGATGGACTGACAGCTCCATTAGGAAAGAGTGACTCCACAAGAGTGGCACTGAATTAACATATAATTACACCCTTCACCCTCTGCTGGGCAACAGTGAACACTAAACATCTGTCATCAATCACTTAATCAAAAACGGTCATTGATGCTCAGATAACAGAAAAAAAATTACCAATTTTGTTGTGAAAGTAAATTTGTTAAATAGCACTAAATGAGTTCTGATGTGATAATGAATGGGCAAAATGTCCAGGCCTTAATTCACCTTAAAAAGAGATATAAGACATTACATTTTGCATGAAGACAGTAAAGCCTATGAGGATCATTGTAGGTTTTAGCTTATGACATTATTTTCACATAAATTAAGCTCATTCCCCTTTAATTCTTAATACTGTGTAAAACAGAAATAGTTAATATCAGGAGGAAATAAGTTCAACTTAACTAATGCAACCATTATGTGTACTTACAATCGTATTTCAAAATTTTCATAATATTATAATTTTTCTCCATTATAGCAAGGGATCATCTGTTTGATCTCAAACTATTTTGAGTGGAAAATAAATAAATAAATAAAGCATCAAACAAAAAAACTCTAAAGATGGTTAGTTCTAAGTGACCACAAAATGAACTAGGTCAAATTAAAATGTAATGACTCTGTACCCCAATAATTATTTTAGTGAATCTGCAATGTAAGCACCAAACGTGCATGAAAATAACTTATTATTAGTAGTACTTTTTTGGTAATTTTCCTTATGCAAAATATAATCTAAGAACTGTCAAGTAAAAGATTTCTTGACCACCTGGATATGCCAGAACCAACAGAACAACTACAACTGTATTTTCACTTCCAGCAATGTATGTGTTCAAGCACAAAAATGTTACAAAATTGCACAAAAACTGTATTCAATTCTGTTCACAGAAAATTACATAGAGATGACATATTATATACACACACACACAGTGTATGACTGAGGCGTGGCATTACATCATCCAACGAAGTACATTTGTTCATTGTCACAAAAGACCAACAGGAAAACATGGAAAAATGACCGAATGCAGGTCAGGCAACAACTTCACAGGCTGAAAGAAAGACACCAATTATCTCTCTAGATAGGAGAAATTCATGTCAAACATCCAAATAAGCCTCCTTCAACAGTTTAATGCCCCTACAGGTCACAAGCCTATTAATTTCTTAAACACAATGTGTGGCAAAAACGTGTGGATGTCAGATACAGGAACATCTTTTTAGTAACAGAAGGGCCAAGAACTCACACTGGTCTATGGCGCCATCTTCTGGATATTTTGTAGACTTGAAGGAAAAAGAACACAACATAAGGAAGGTCTGTGATAAATTCTGTTATGATGCATTATGTCAGTATTCGTCCCAAACACTTCTGCTTTTAAATTTCCTAAATTGTTAAACTGATTTTTTTTTTTTTTTTTCGTTTTTAAATCTCAGTTGAAGAATGAAAACGAAATCATACAGATTAGGTCTGCCCAATACTGAATTCCTGGCAAAAACAGATAAGCAAATAATACATTTCATAATTTATTGAACAAATGATTTTATAAATCTATTTATAAATATCTACTTTGATAAAAAAAAAAAAACTAAATAAATACATATAATTAGATAATAGATGAAATAGCTGAATGAATGAATGAATGAATGACTTGTATGCTCCAAGTGAATTTAGGAATCTTAACATTATTATAATAAACAATATGAAAAAGAAAAATATTCCTTTTAATATATATATATATATATATATATATATTATAGACATCTGGGATGCTAATTAGATTATAAACATTATAAACAATTCATTTTATGCACAAATGCACACAGCAATTCTATCATTACTTGTAAGCATTAAATAATTTTGTTCTAAAAAAAAACTCTAGACAAAGGATTAAATGTTTTCTATAATCTACCATTAAATTAGTGCTAGATTATAGAAATAGTACAAAACCAATCTTAAAATAAACAGAAACAGCTAAACATACAATAATGGCTGAAAAAAAATCTAATATCAGACAATAACAAACAAACAATAAATCTTGTTGATATAATTAATGTCCTTAAACCATATCCATAACGTTTTCACTGATTACAACACAGCATCAAACTGTTACTCTTGTCAACTCTTTAAATTTGTTTGTACATTTTTTATGTAATATTAAACATATTTATAAACCTGTACACACACATACGCGCGCGCACACAAACACTTATATAAGCATGAATCTATAAATATCATATCTGGTTAAATAAGCTCAAGTTACTTTCAATATTTGTAGTTTCTAACTAAACCAACCCAAAGCTAAGAGTTCATTAAAGTCAACGATGCATGACTAACTGATTTGATCAGTTGCTAGTAAGCCTCAATGAATCCGAGGGGTCACTGGGTTCGTCTGTTACATAACGAACCACGCGATGTCGCTGCAGCTCTAGCAGATAACAAGAGAAACATAACATCTAAACCTTCTCAAATTGCATTTAAGGCAGGAAAGTTCTCTTTCCAGAGGAAGTTTCTAGTTCATTCTTTCAGCGCTTGAATCCAGTGACGGTGCCAACTAATACATAGCAACTGCGTAGTGCGCGCGTGACGCAGAAGTCTTTTCAGTTCGTCAGCCCTCTCTAAAACCGCGGGTCAACGGGTACGATCATTCCAATAGCCTCGTGAAATGACAACCGATCCCAAACACGATGTGCAGTTCTGAAACACACACACACATACATACATATACACACAGCACGGAACTAAAAACCACCCGTTATCGACACATTTTAACACACGCAACTGCAGACCCCAGACACTGCTGTGTGACCATAACACGCACGTGGATTCACTTTCACCCTGAACATAGACTGCTTACACGCATAATGCAACAAGGAAGTAATGTGTGGGTTACACAACCACTTTTAAACAAGCTTTTAGAAAGATGCAACCTGAAATACATACAGTATACATTTACGCATGCAGCAGTCTCTTATATGAAACTATGATAAAACACATTTGTATGGTACAGATATGATGCAGGTGGTTCTTACCAGCTGAAGAAGCTGTGCACGCCTGTTCTCAGTCCAACAGGACAGAAAAAAAAAAAAAACATCAGAAGGTTTCTTCAGTGCAAAAGGTACAGCAGCACATCTGAAGAAGCAGACAAGCACATGTCGGAGAAAGTGAAAGACAAATGAGCAGGGAGCAGAGAGACGTACGACTTATGGGAAGAGAAAGAGAAGTGCGACAAAGCAGGAAAGGGGAGAGGGAAATAGATAGACAGAAAGTGAGAGTGAGAGAGGTAGAGAGAGAGAGAGAGAGAGAGAGAGAGAGAGAGAGAGAGAGAGAGAGAGAGAGGCACCTCAGTGTGAGTTCTTGCTGTTGCAGAGAGGGGTGGTCGGAGCTGTAGGGTCCCAGAGTTCAAAGCACTGAGAGAATAAGAGTGTTATTCTGCTACAGTCAGCCAAGTCTTACACAACACCAACCAGGGGCAGCAAGTTCCTTCTGCCTATCTCTCCCTCCCTCGCACTCATTCACCAACTCGCTCGCTGTCTCATTTCCTCACTCACTGATTCCCTATTCTTTCCATTTCATCTGTTTCTGTTTCAGTTATGTGGTTGCTCTTTCCCTTGGACTTTTCTTCATCACTCCCTACATGAAAGCACAACTGAAATCCATTTAATCTATCTAAAGCAATTGAGTATAATTTGTGTCTATTTTTATTGCTCTTAAGGAATTTTAGAAGAAACATCGGAGGCGAATCCATTAAGTGGCCATGAAAGAGGATGATCTGAGCTGTAAAATGTTCCTCTGGCTCCTGTTGGTGAAAAAGGGCAGGTCGTTTTGCAGTGAATCTTGTGGGTTTAGGTTATTATGGAAGCATTGAAAGGTTTCTGGAAAAGGGCTAGAGATCTGCATCACTGGAATTCCAGGAAAGCAAAACAGTAATGGTCTCATTCCCCGCTTCATACGACACATACTTTGTCAGTGTAGACCTTTCAATGCCATTATTAAAGCATGCTGGATTGCTTTTATAGCTAGCATAAATGTAAGAGATTAAGCACAGTATGTACATTTGGATTTTGGTGAGGATTTGGTTTAGATGGAAGGGCACAGCTGGGTTAAGGTGTTTAGTCACTACTGAATTAGTATTTAAATTGATAGTCTGCCCAAAAATCATCATTTACTCAAACTTGTGTTGTTCCAAACCTGTATAACTTTCTTCTGTGGAACACAAAATATATATTTTTTAATGTTTTAATGTTTTTTTGTGTCTTTACAGTGAAGGTCAGTGGGGTTCAATGTTGTTTTGGACTCTACCGACTTCCATTATATGGATAAAAAGAGTTCAAAATATGTTCTTTTCAGATAAAATACAGTTATACAGGTCTGGAAAGATTTTTTTTGTTGTTGCTTGAACTATCCCTTTAAGTATTTGATTAAATAAGGTTTTTATACGTGATTTTTTTTTTTTTGCAACATGCAGGTAGAAACTGTTTATATAAGGCTGATATAAAATCTGCAAAATCCTCATTCATAAATCACTGGTGTCAGGTTTAGCAATAATGAGAGCTTGTTGTCGTGAAGAGATGGAGATGTCAAGGCATGTTTTTGTGCTGAGCTAGAGGAGGTATTACGCAACCATGTTCACAAACAAAAAACCTACAATAAATCTTTAAAATAACAGCATCATAAATTCGAGTTTTAATGCAATCAAATCAATGCGCAAAGTGATCCAAGATCATAACCAGCTCATCATAGTTTCATAGACCTGACAATATTGGAGTCTAAAAATAGATAGAAAGATTTCATAATTGTTACATAACAGCAGGCTCAGCTTCACCTTCTGAAGTGCTGCCTGAATGGAGACGGCAGCAAAGAGGATGAGGAGGAAACAATGCCATAATTTGACCCTTTGGCACAATTAAATAAACTGATGATTTGCTAATATAGCAACAAAGCAAACTAAACTGACACATAGAGTCTTTAAAAACAGTCTAGGTTGGAGCTGTGGCCTAGCAGTAAGCAACGCCAAGGAGGAAGACACTGGTTTGAGTCCAAATCTCAATAATTCCAATTCAAATCTCCGCTATCGCTAACAAAAATAAGTGGAAGAAACTACATTGTAAAAGAGTCTACCTTGTAAAAACGTCTTGTCTGGACATCAACAACTGTGCTTCATGTGGTAACACCAACATTAACTAAATGATGTTACCAGTAAAAGTTGAAGTCTGATCAGGTAGATAAAGGTTCTTAAAGGAGCAGATCACCCAAAAATGAAAATTTGCCTGAAAATTTTAGTCAGGCCATCCAAGATGTAGATGAGTTTATATCTTCATCAGAACAGATTTGGAGAAATTTAGTATTACATCACTTGCTCACCAAAGAATCTTGCAGTGAATAGGTGCCGTCAGAATAAAATGATACAAATAATTCATAAGTAATCCACAAGACTCCAGTCCATCAACTAACATCTTTTGAACAAAAAAAATATGAATCCATAACTTTTTCCACTGGAGAATGCAATATTGTGGATAGAGCACTCATATTTTAGCAACGGTTTGAAGTTAAAACACCTTAATGATGGATTTGTTTCTTACAAACACACAGCTTTTCACAAGACATTAAGTGATGGACTGGAGTCGTGTGGAATACTTGTGGTTTTATTGTGATGTTTTTTTTTAGCTGTTTAAACTCTCAGTCTGACGACACCCATTCACTACAGAGTTAAATTGATCAAATTCTTTTTAGTTGAAGAAACAAACTCATGGGTGAGTATATTTTCAGCACATTTTCATTTTTGGGTGAACTATACTTTTTAGGCAACGATGACACTACTTCACTGGAGAACTATCCCTTTCTCTCTCATGTTAAAAATGAGCTGTGGACATATGGGAACTTGCTCAGGGGAGTGGAGCATCCGCTGGCCTATTTTGCAGCAGTCTTTTGCGTCAATTGAACGCAGCAGTTTTGGAAAAGTCAAAGTCAGACGCCTGGTCCCGGAATGTCAGATTTAGTCATATTAGAATAATTTCCACGTCAGTCTTACAAGTCAGAGCGGTTCGCCTTATTAAACGCTCACACACATGCTGAGAGACGACTTGAATTTCTCTACATGAAAGATCTGTTTTTCCATGTAAACGTGCCAGTTAAAGCACAATTAAAGCTGCACATTATTAGCCCCTGAGAAAAAGTAGTCAGTCAGTAAGAAATGGTAGGCTAAAAGAAGCGAGATTCTGTATTATCTAATATATACAGGACATACAATGCAATATTTACAAATGTGTCGTGTACCACACTACGTAAACATTAAAGTGGCCTACTTGAACAGTATGCACTCTTGAAGCACACGTAGAGCACACACTCTATCACATTCAGCTGTGTGGGAGGAAACCGCGCAGAGGCCCCTGGTTCTAAGCGTTTAACTACTGGTATTACATACCCACGGCTGTTTCGCAAGAACAGCCTTACTCACCTAAGCCTTTTCAAGCCTCTTCTGCAGAACTGAAACGAAATCTATTAAAATAATCCCGGGGGTTTTATTAAACCCAGACTAACTTGGCAAAGACTCCAACTTGCAGTTAGATGTCAGTCTTAATTTGTAAGAACCGCTGCGAGTGCTTTTATTGGATTAAGACGAGGCTTTGAGATGTAAATGACACTGTTAATGGTGATTCTTAAATCTTTTTGAGGCAAAAAGAATCAAGTAGTTTTTTGTCAAATGCATTTAGATTTAATTTTGAGAATTTTGAGAATTTCTTCATCAACTTCTTCAATATGAGTGTATCTAGCATAATAAGTGTCCTAGTGTCCTCTACAGCACATTTTCTTATCCATTTGTTTGTACTGCTTATGTACACTTACATGCACACATATATGCACATTGCACATATACACACTACACACA